AGAAAACAAAAAACTAATAAATAAATGCAAAAATACACATTTCACTCTAAAAAGTAATGAACACATAAACAAATAGACATTCAGTGCTTAAAGAGCATAATCAACTTGTTTAATGTAAATCTGGACACATTTCTTTCACATTTCAGTATCCAGACCAGCACCGACTCAGTCTCTGGCTCAGTCAACGTCCAGCTAGAATTCACATGACAGAAAAATGTCCAGTGTGTTTATGTTCAGTGTCATCAGCAGCTCATTAGCAGCAGACTGATGTGTTTTTCTGTTCACACTGTCCGCCATATTCCCCCCATTTCTTCTTCTCCACCACAAGTTTACCCTAATTTTTTTGAAGCACCACCATGAGGAGTCATGATGTAGTGACTCTGGTCAGTCAGATCAGTGGGAGAATCCGTTCAGACCGACTGTATGTTTTAATAAAATCATTGTTATTTGGTGCCGGTGTATCGACATGCCGAGGTAATACAATATAATGTCCCACCCCGACCTCCAACCTGTACCTCTGCCTGTCTTTCAGCTTGCTTATAGATATACTGAGTGGAGGAAAGACTAGTTCCTAACACAACTTTAATTCTTTAGAATGAAAAGGATCAAATATAAAGATAGGAGCTGTGTCCCAATTCAGGGGCCGCATCCTTCATAGGCCGCGAAGGTCAAACTGAAATGAGAAATCTGGTGTACAGAGGATTTTCACTTTGCGTCACCAGCAGTTCCCACCCTTACCGTTGTGTCACAAAGCATGGTTCCTGTTGCCTAGCAACCTTGACAACACAGAATTTTTTTTCACAAAAACTTGAGGTTTTAAGTCTCTTGTTTTTAACAGCTGTACTGTCAACTGTTGAACTGAGCTGAAAGACAATACCTACATTTAACAGTGTGATCCCCAGACTCTCTGTCCGTGTTGTTTGCTTTCATTAACGGCGCGCAATGAATCTTGGGATATGTTGGACCAACAGCTGGATCCCTCGTGGTCCAGGAAAGGAAGGACGCTTTTGAAGGAGTCTTTGAAATGGAGCAACCTAGTCGCACCACAGTGACACGGTCAGTCTTTAAATGCAGCCTCTGAAGGAGACGGCCCCTGTGTGTCAGGTGTCATGAGTCCTAGTTCAGCTCTAAACACACAGCTGGTCTTGTGTTTGTCTGAGTCAGTAGCTGTTATTTCAGTATCCAGCCTCTCGGCAGTCTGGGTGTGGTGTTGCTGCTGAATTGAAGGCTGTCCTCAGGCTAACACATTTAGGGGTAGAACACAGACACTAATGGCTTCTCTATTGCCTCCTGTGCTCTCTCCGTTCTGTTAGCTGAGCTCTGAGGCAGCGTCAGCCTGACACCGGCTAATGCACTAACACACCCAGCCCTCTGCATCCACTTCCAGCTCACAGCCACATTACGACAGACGACTCAACCTTTTTGTAGAGATTCACTGGCAGCAGTTCAACATGTATTTGGTGAGTTTGGTCACTCACCCACTGATGGTTGAATTTGCTGCTGAATGACTTAAGATGATAGAGCCCCCCCCCCCCACTGCTACCCACTGTATGTTGGACTTTTAGGGTCAGAAAGAGAAAGGTAAATGGCTACTATTTGGATGCTGTGATAAGTAGCTATCTTGGGTTAACTGCTGTTTTTAATTCTATTACAAAACAATCATTTTGTAGCTTTAGAAAAGCCAACAGTAAATAATCTTTACAGTAACAGATACTGTACCCCACAGATACAGATACTATAGTCCATGTAAAAACAAAAGAAAAATGTCTGAAAGCAGCTCTGGCAGGAAGCTGTGTTGTTGTGTTGTGTCTGCAGTGGCTCTGTTCTAATCTCTGTGGTGCTAAGTGGGAGTATGGCAGCAGTTCTAGAGAGAGATTTAATTAAGACAGACCTGTTCACTGTGCTCTGCTCCACTGTGTCACCCTGCTGGTGTTTAATGGTGAGTTCAAATGTTTCTTTGTGAAATGTGATACTTGAGTTTTTCTTCAATCATAAAAAGCGGCTCTGAGATATTTTAATATTAAAGCAGCTGAAAATGACACGTTTTACAGACGGTATTGTGACCTTATACAGTTGTTATGGCTAACATGTTAACAAACCCATTCACACATCAGGCACCCTCCCCTCAGGCACGCTCACAACTACAATTACTCTTATTTATCTTTATAGACATTTTTATTTTACTATAAGGAGTAGATCTATAAATCTATCAATATATCCATCTACCCATCTTTCTATGTTTGGTGTATGGTGGCTTTTCAGCAGACAGATGTGAATGAATGAGTGAGTATCAGACTCACATTCACACGATCATAACTCCAGATAAATCGTAATGTTTCTCTGTGTCTGTAATCACTTGCTCTGTCAGGTTATGTTAATGAGTGGAGGTAAAGGACACAGCTGCACAGGTCGATCCTAGTTCATATTGTGATTATTTTTTTTATCATCACAGTGGGTTTCAGTCAATAATTGCTTCAGCAGACAGTTTCCAGTGGTGATGTGACTGTGAGTGTGAGTGGCAGGTGTAAGGAAGCTCTGTAAACATGAACACAGCAGAAAGCCCCGAGGCAGGGTGGAGGTCACAATGGAGAACATGAGCCTCGGACCGGGACTGCTGCTTCAAAAGCCAATCACGCACCTCTCCTCCTCACCAACACCAGCACTCATTTTACAGCAGAGACAGAATAAAATGAGGAGCGGCTGCATCATCAAGTCAAATACAGCTCAGTGCTTTTTCCCATCAGCATTTCTCTGATTGTGGGTGTGGAGAGTTGTGGATGCAAAGCTGTAATGCCTTTGATCCCACAGGTTTTCCTCTTTATGGCTAACTGATGAGGGCACCCATGTCTATATACTTTCTTGTACTGTTAGATAATGGGCTGGATTAGTGTGGATGAACTGGAGTGGTCTTCAGAGAGCACTGAACCTTGACCCCAGCCAGACGTCACTGTTGGACCTCACTCATGTTCTCATGGCTGAATAGGAGAAAATCCATGTAACCAGGTTGCACCACCAAATTTGGAATCTCTTACAGACAAGCCCCCATTTATGTTACAACCCAGGTGCTGTTTGGGGAAAAAGGAAGCAACATAAAACCACTTGGTAGTGGTGATACATTTGTTATGTAGCCAGGAGGGTAAATAAGTAAACAAAGGTACAACCAAGGTGACAACAAAAAGAGGACTCTACCTTAAGGAGAGTTTCCAAACTTCATTTCTGAACTTAAAAAGGAATGAAACAAAAGAACCTTTCTACTCTCATTCTAACGACCAAAAATCACACAGGAAGCAGCCTAACGGTGTTTCTGCTTTGTGTCAGATACAGATCAGTAAAATTCTACTGCCTGGCCCATTCTCCAACAAACGATACAAGTACCTCAAACCACTTCACAAAATTCACAAAATGTTAGAGATGGCAAGAGCTACAGAGGGGAGCTGTATCTCTTAGCCAGCCGTCCCAGGCAACCTTTAAACTCTTTGTTTCCTTGGAACGGCTGCTGGACGGGCAGGAACGACTGCTGCACCAATAGGGAAAGCGCTGCAGAACTGGAGACTCCTCCCCTCGGCTCCAACCAATCCCATTGCACGTGGCTGCGGTCGTAACAAACATCTGGAGCCGGTTTCACAAAGATATGTCAGACTGGTCTGTAATATTGATCCAGTCTTCATGTTGGTCCAGATCAGTTTAATGTTCTTTAGACTGTTTCACCAAAATAAAAATTGACTTATTTTAAGTGAAAAACATTAGAAACCTTACCCCAAGACTCACTCAGGGCTAAGACCAATGTTTCCATGGAAACCATCGATGACACTGTGCTGACCAGTAGCACCCAAAGACAAAAACAGGCAAACATGACTCATAATTTGAGGCATAATTCGAGAAGGGAAAGAGTTTCTAGACCAAATCATTTTTGGTTTTATTGTTTCACCATTCATGTAAAATGTCCTGGTAACTGTTGAATTCTTCTAAAAGCAGGACATGTTCTGCTGATGTAAAAGGAGCTGAGCTGTTATTTTCGGAAAAAAAAGTCTTAATTTACCCAGAATTCATTGTACCACAGTCCGGCTTAGTGAAATCAACCGCTTGTGAAAGTCTGAAACCAGATGATGGAGACTGTTTCCAGAGCTCACTACCTCACATACACTAGTGATAAAAACACTGGTGGACTGTGAGAGACAAAGCTCCGGGTCATTGATCTCCAGGTCTCTGAACTCTACTGGAAGACAAACTATTCTTCATAAATGTATTCCCTCATGTGGTGTTGTGATGATGGTGGTGGAGAGCGCTGCCTGACATGTCGGTCCAACATCTGTCATAGTTCAACTGGACTGAGATCATGTGACTGTGAAGGTCACAGCATATAATATTCACATCATTTTCATCCTCATTAAAACCATGAGTGGAGACATTGTTATTTATACTGATTATTCCTATTTATTTGATCTCATTCATTTATTGTTTTTACTTCCTCTGTTATTTCTTTGTAAGGCACTTTGTAACTTTGTTAGAAAAGTGCTATGAAGTTTATTATTATTATTATTATTATTATTATTATTGTTATTATTGTTATTATCATCATTATATTATTATCCTGTTTCTTCACTAATTCTTCAGATTTTTCTTCTAATTTGTCACCAGCCTCTGGCTTATTCCTCTGGGCCACAGAGCCCTGTTTTTGTCACTGAGTAACATCATCACCATGAACACACACACTGTAGTTTATTATGACTCAGTTAAAACTACAGTGAGTGGCAGTTTCAGGAACGTATAGAAGCTTTTTCACAAATGAAACAATATATTTATGAGCTGTTAAAGAACATGAGCATCTCTTTCACATCTTCTGTAGGAACCAGTGGATTCAGGTTAAAAGTACTGAGAGACGGACTCACACATTGTCGGTTTTTTTCACAGACAATAAGAAAAATATTGATTAATGCCACCTCATCCTTTAACCGTATTAATAGTCCTGTTTTTTTTAATCTCTATCTTTATGTGTTTAGGCGAATGATGCGTCAGGAAACACATGGAACTGGCTGTACTTCATCCCCCTCATCATCATTGGTTCCTTCTTCATGCTCAACCTGGTGCTAGGCGTGCTGTCAGGGTGAGTACAACCTGTGAGGATCACTTGAGCAGAGATGATGAGAGGTGTTCTTTACATTTTGCCTTTAAACCTGCAGTGTGGATCCGGAAGGCAAAAATCTGATTGGGTCACTTTCTTTAACTAACTTTTCATGGTTTTAAGACAGCAACCCTTTCATTCTGAAGGTTGTCCAAGCTGGATAGGAAATTAGGCTAAAATTAGAATTAGAAGAAATTAATTATTAAATGAAAGACATTCGATAAAACATTTAAATGGGTTCCCCACTGATACTGTACCTGCCTTAATGTCTGGGAACTTTGAAATAACAGGCTGAGTACCACAATCTAATGGTCTGTGAGCTAGCTTCTCACTCTGTGCAGCGCTGCAGACTTGTTATTTATACCTATTGGTATTTATATTTTTTCACCCGTTTCCTGCTTTGGGAAAACAGAGAAGGTAAAAATTGCCTTTTCTGCTGCTAGTTTTATTTTAAGGAGATTAGTTGCAAGGCAACAAATTGAAAAGAAAATGTGAATTCACATGCTGTGTGAAAATAAAAGGTGAAGAAAAACTGGGTCTTCAGAGTGACTCATGGTTTCAGTCTGCTTCAGGTAGCAGTGCTGGGTGTCATAATGCAAGACAATGTTGAAGGTACATTTTAAAAGCAACCTCCCAACACTGATTGTTAACAATAACCTGCATCAGTTAAATATCAGTGTTCTTCCAATTTTTCAACATAAAAAGATCAAATTCAATACAGTGAGCTGGTCAAGCTACTTTTAACCGAGTTAATGCTGTAGGTTGGTTGTCTCTCAGACAGCTGCGGTGGATGTGGTGGTCATGTGTTAGGTCATGTGACGTCCTCATAAATGTGGACACGTGTTCCCTACTCTGAGAAATGTACAGTGGTCTGTGTGAAAACCAGGAAAAGAACAAATGAACAAATGTTGGATAAAGTCACTGAATGGATCATATCAAACAGCTGATCGTCTTCTAAGCTCCACCTCCCATAGTTACTGTTGCTATGCCTGTGAAGCTTTCAGTCTTCCCACAGCACATACTGTATGCAGTTTACAATAAAAATAAGAAATAAATAGCATCCAGGACTGACTCCACACAATAGGGATTTAGTACAGAGTGAATGTGTTTGTTGTGTGGGTCTGCTTTTATTCCTCCACACTGAAGATAGTGAGAGCGGGAGCCATATTGTTTTCAGGTAGGGCTCTCACTTTTTCAAAAAATCAAGATCGAACGAATTCGAAATGACCCACAATTCATTCAAATTAACTGAGTATTTCTGTGACAAACTACTTTAACATGTGGAGACATTCAAAGTTTGACAGGCCTGCCATAAGCAGGCATGCTTATGGCTGCTAAGCTATAATTGGACAGTCAGGGTGTAATAGTAAGTAGTAAGTATCACTAATGGGGTTACTTGTGAATAGCAACATTCAAATGTCCCACATTCATAGATGTTCCCTTTGCCTGGAGTGTGTGCTTCTTTTGCATTTACTTATTTAGACTAATTCCACATCTGTGGCAGCTTCCATGTAATATTCATGAGGGTTTATTAAAACATAAATTCACATGATTGTGTGGGTCTGCCGCACCATAGGCTGACTGTCAGTGTAATTCTGTGGAACACACCTTCTCTTTTATAAAGAGACACAAATAGCAGGCACTGAGTTGTCAGGATGTCATCACCATTGAAAAGACCATCATGGGAGACGTTTTTTTTATTGCCTCTTTGCAGTTATTATCTTCTCTCTTCAGCACCAGCAGTCCCTGGGTGTTGTTGCCCATCCTCAACTCTTGTGCAACCAGCCAATGTCTGTGACTGACTGACTGAGTGATTATAGTTCCACCATTGGTCAGCTGAATGCATAAATATATATATATATATATATATATATATATATGTGTGTGTTTAAATAACAAC